CAAACAGAAATTCAGACCCTGAAAGTCAAAGGATGGAAAACAATACTCCATGTGACAGGATCCCAGAAAAAAGCATGTGTTGCTATTCTATTTGCAGACAAAGTGAATTTCAAGCCAAGGCTGATTAAGAGAGATAAAGCAGGTCACTACTTCCTCATAAAGGGAACAATCCAAAAGAAAGAGACAACAATCATAAATCTATATGAAATAAGTACAAGTACACACAGCTATATAAAACAATTACTAATGGACATGAAAAATCAAGCTCTAATACAGTTGTATTGGGAGATCTCAATACCCCACTGTCACAAAAGATCAATTAGACAAAAAAAATCATCAACAATGAAATATTAGAACTGAACTAAACTTCTGAACAAATGGACTTAGTAGATGTCTACAGAATGTTCCACCCCACAACATCAGAATACACATTCTTCTCTGCTGCACACTGGATATTCTCCAAAACAGACCACATATTGGCTCACAGAACATGCTTAAGTAAATGCAAAGGAATTGAAATTACCCCATACATATTATCAGATCACAATGCATTGACACTGAAAATCCATGCCAAAGGAAACCACTAGAACTTCATAAACACATGGAAATTAAATAGCACCCTACTGAACAACAAATGGTTCACAGATGATATTAAAAAATAAATTCAACAATTTTTACAGTTGAATGAAAATGACAATACAATGTACTCTAACTTATGGAACACAATGAAAGAAGTCCTAAAAGAGAAATTTATAGTAGTAAACACCCATATAAGGAAAACAGAGCAAATGCATATAAACAACTTAATAATGAACTTCTAGAAAGACAAGAGCAGGCTTAGCTAAAAGGTCATATGAGGGAGGAAATCATAAAGATCAGAGAACAAATTAATGAACTGGAGAGTAAAAAGCAATACAAGGAATCAAAGAAACAAAGAATTGATTCTTGAAAAATTAAATAAAATCAACAAACCCTTAGCCAACCTTATCAGAAAAAGGAAAGAAAAGAGTCAAATTCACATAATTTAGCCAGAAAGAATGGCTAAAATTAAGAAATCAACCAACAACAAATGCTGGTGGGGCTGTGGGGGAAAGGAACTCTTCTCCATTGTTGGTGGTAGTGTAGCCTGGTGCAACCACTGTGGAAATTAGTGTGGAGATTCTTCAGAAAACTAGGATTGGAGGCCCATTGCATCCAGCTATTCCCTTTCTGGGTATCTTCCTAGAAAAAGTGAAAACATCATGTGCACCCATGTTTATAGCAGCATAATTTGTAATAGCCAAATCTTGGAAACAACCTAAATGCCCATCAACTGAGGAATGGATAAAAAAGTTGTGGTATTTTTATACAATGGAGTACTACTTAGCTATAAAGAAGGATAAACTTAAGACTTGTATAGGAAAATGGACGCACCTTGAGATCCTACTCATAAGTGAAATAAACCACACATGCATGTGTAAACATTGTTGTCTCACTAGTGTGAGAAGCTGAAAGTATATATATAAGATAGTTAAAATAACTCCACTACTGATTTCTCAGCTCGCTGAAGAGAAGGGCTTGTGCTAGCACTGTTCAGATGATTAAATGCAGGTGTCCTGCAGTCTGAGTAACTGATTTGAAGATAACAATACACAATGCATATATTCATTGTCATCCTGTAATTACCACATTTTGAAATTTTTTTCTATTTAAAATAAAATTTAAAAAAAATCTCAGAATAGTTTTAGTATTTCTCAACATTGCTGATGAGAGCACTCATGAGCAGCTGGAAACACACTGAAAATGCAATGCTTGGGTTATCTGTGGACTTCCAACACCTCGTCCTTGTCCCAGCACAGAATCAGTACAGTGCTGCTGCATCCGCTCCTCAGAGTTTCTTGTGTCACCACGGAAGGCCCTGCCTCAGTCGTAGTGTTGTTCTTTACCGCAGCGGATTTAGTGAGAAGCTCAGGACGGACACTTGCACTGTGTGTGGTGTTTTGTTATGACAGTGTTACAAGGAAAATCCTGGTCTATTCATCGTTTTGCACATCTGCAATCAGTGCTTGGATACAGACAAAACTTCACCTTCAGCATTAACATCCAGTGAGATGGTGTTTGAAAGGGGGCTCCGTGGGAGGCGATGGTGTTAGGTAAGGCCCTCGAGAAAACCTGCCAGGGAGCTTGTACCCTGCTGCGAGAACGCTGGGAAGCCAGGAAGGCGCCTGGCCCTGGCCGACCCGTGGCTGCGCTGACCCGGTTTCCAGCTCCCACATTCCTGCCCTTACATTTCACAGCACATGGCACTCTTCGTGCCTGCCTGAGTAGTTTAATATCGCCACTAAAATGCACTGCAGAGGGACTTTGTTTTTTAAAGGCGCATATCCAGAAGAGAAGGAGAGTAGGAAAAATGAGAGAAACAAAATTATGGATACTAAAATAATAGCAAGGTCTGTGGCAACTGGGATTTTCAAACCCTGGAATCTTAAACCAACCCAGGGAACATGGAAAAACAAGCAAGTGACCCGAGAACCTCTGAGAGGCTGAGTAACTGGTGGCCCTGGGCACTCTGCTGGCACAGGTGGCCATGAACTAAGAGGAGAGGACCAGAGAAGTGTGCTTTGGAGGTGGAGGCCCAGTGCCCCACTACGCCATAGGCACCTTGGCATGTCTCCATGAAGAGTGCGCCAGTCCAGGCGGGGGGGTTCTATGACAGTGCAGGCACAGGGCCAGGAGAGCTTACGCACTGAACACTGGATGCTTCAAACCGTTCTCCCACCTTACTTCAAGATGCTAAGACCTATGCTGGTGTCCTGCAAGAAGAAGCCAAAATTCATTCCCTTGGGAAGCTACCTGGGTGTCGGGAGAAAACACCACCAAAACAACAGCTGCCCTGAGCCTCTGCAAGCTCTTCTCTTCCACAACCCAGGAAAGGTGTGGAGGAAACAGGTGAGACCCGGTAGTGTAACACGTGACAAAATCGAATCATAAAAAGGCAACCTCTTGACACATCTGGATCAGACTATTCAGGGAGATAAAAATCCTGAGAAAACCTTGGAGTGATGACACAAAATACATTCAAGGGAGGACAGAAACCAACAAAATAAGGAAAAACCTTTTAGAAATGAATAACATGCCACACAATTAAAAAAAAAAACCCTCCATAAGGGATGGCAGATAAAACTGTAGTCAACAAGTAGTCAAAATCAAAGATAAAAAAATGGAGAAAGATAAGAAAAGGGAAAAAAACACAAGGAAGATAACTTGAATAATTCATGAAACTTTCCAAAATAAAGGATGTGAATTTTTAGACGGAAAAAAAAATCCAATAAATTCACAGCATAATCCATGAAAACATATAGGTTCTGAGTCATGATGCCGTGGGAATGCAGAACAACAGGGGTGAGAGGATCCTAACAGGTTCTACAAGAAAAAAAAATCATCAAACCTAAGAATCAAGACTCTTGGTATTTTCGAAGCTGTACAGGAACCAGGATATGAGGAGAAACCCTGCTGTGAATCCTAAAATAAAACGATTCCAACCTCGAATCTGATTCTCACCGTAAAGAGGACAGACACAGAGCTGAGCCAAGCATGGGCACTGCGTCAGGAACAATGGCTGGGTGCTGTCTCCAGGGCTGGGGAGCAGAGGGTAGGGAAAGAGGAAGGGCTGCACCTCCCACTGGGCAGAGCTCCAGGACACTTCTCAGTAGACGTGGTGGGTCTGGGCCCTCCCTTCTTACTGACCCTGGCTCAAGGCCACACTGGTCACGGGTTATTCTCCAAGTCCTGGGACTGGACAGGAGAACATCACCAAAGTACCCCTTTCCTTGGAATGAGCAAGGAATTACTTTATACAGTATGTTAGCTACTTTTCCTTCTTGCTAACATAAAATGCTCAACATCCAAAGAGAAAAGGGGAAAGGTTTACTTCAGCTCACAGTCTGTGGAGGTTTTAGCCCTGGCTCCAAGGCAAGGTGGCATGGCAGAGGGCACATGGCAGAGATAACAGCCCATGGCAGTAGACGGCAACAGAAGCAAGCCAGTGACCAATTACAATAACTAACTGGAGCCTCTCTGTCCCTTACAGCGTGGCCAGACTGCTGGCTCCCAAGGGGGGTGGCACTCGTGCCCTTAAACCCAGGACTGTACTATAGCGCCCTCACACACCCTAGACCCAGCCATCTCTGAAAAAACCCCAGCTATGACCACATGAGACAGTGGAGGGACACCTAGATACAGGCCGTAACCTACAGCAGTAGATAATGATGTTTGCACTCCTGGGTATCTAAGAAAAATAAGGTAAGAACTCCCCTACATGCTTTCTCAGGGAGCTGTGAGAAAGACGCTCACCAAAATGAAGAGTTTGAGAAACATGATGGAATAGGATTCAAGAAGCAGGATCTGTACCAGACAAGCAGAAAGGCAACCCTGGGATGACATAAATGAAGATGCGGAGATGACCACAAGAGAGCAGACTAGAGACCGAAGCAGCACACAGGGCAGCACAAGAAGACAGACACAACACCCTGGTGAGGGGGAGACACTGAGGAGGATGTCAAGCAGGGTCTGCCGAGGAAGCGTGGCTTCGTCCACGCTGAGACTTAGACCCATCCCAGAGGAAGCATCTCTGCCACAAGTGCAGCATCATAAATAAAGGAGGTCAGCAAGTGTGTGGGCAAGCCATGGGTCAGACACAGCGCGGCGTGGCCGAAGTGCACCAAAGTGAACAGGAAACGGAAAGCAGATCCTACCCAACACACAGAGCCAGTGGCAGATCTGCCGTGAGCACCACACTTGGCATTTGGAGTCTGCTAGAAGAAGCTAAGCCAGGGCTCAAGGGTGGCCCTGGGGTGGCAGTGGGCTGAGCAGAGGGCTTTGAGGGGATCTGCCCACCTGGGGCAGACGCTGGAGCCCACAGAGGAGGAAGGAGACTGCCACGCAGCCAGCACTCAGACCAAGGCTCCGTTCTGAAGGTGGAGCTACCGCTCAAGGCAGGCGGGGAGTTTCTGGAGCCATACCTGTGGATTTGTTCGACGCTCTCCTCCGAATTTCAGTCACCATGAGTCGTGAGACTTGCGTTGTGAACTGCAGCAGATCAGAAAACTTTTCTGTCATGGTACTTGGCGGAGCATTTCCAAAAACCTGTGGGTAACAGAAAACATTCCTCATGAAACCCCCTTTCCAACTGTGCGAATTTGAAACTGTGGCATCAACTGAAGATCAAGCCAAACACATGTATCTCTGCGCCTGCTTTGGGTGTGATCACATTTAAAACACACCTCCTTGAATAAATCGTGTCTAGTCAATTTGGGGGCAGGAAGGTGTACCGGGGATTGAACACACAATCTTGCACTTGCCAGGCAGGCACTTGTGCCCCTGAGTTGAGTCCCCAGGCTCTGGCCACATTTTCTTAACATATTAAATAATGTATCAAACATATGACACAAAGGACAAAGACATTAGCTATCAATTTGGAATTGGAAAACATGAGCATTCTCTGAGGGAACCTGAATCAAGGACGTAGCGAAGCAGGTATCTGGGTACACTGGCTGTTGAAAAGCGGACACTGACCCCCTCCCAGGCCCTCCTCGGATGAACAGACTCAGCTCCCCACATATTTTATATCTTGGAATTTCTAAATTCTACTCACAATAACTCATAAGACAAGACTATTATAAAAAAGACAGACAAAAGTAAATGAACATATCATTCATAAAATAAACTTGTTTTCACCAAAAAAGGTTAAGAGAAACCAACTTCAGAGTAACTCATTCTTAAAGATGAAGTGGCACGGGAAGGTGACACGGAGGACATGAATCCTGGGTGCATCATCACAGGAGCAGAAACGGCAGGTGAGTGGCTGTGCACCTAGATGCACTCTGAAATAGTGCTATAGACAAAACCTCTTCATCTTCTAAAGCTGTTGTCAGGATTATCCATGAGAAGAGAGGATTTCCATTCTCATTACCATTTAAATGTCACTACAGAATAAATTACATAGTTTATTCACGCCAGGACCCCTTGCCAAGACAGTAGCCACCTCTTTCCCTAGCTGTGGCTGCTTGTTTCTATGTGGCCAGTCCCTACAACCACTTTCTATAGACTATTCAGCAAGCACTGAAGCAGATCATGAGCATACAGTTAAAGGACAAAATGTGAACACACAAGTAAAAACCCCAACTGAAGGAGATAGACTGGAAGGGAAAGAGAGAGAGAAAGACAGACAGGGAGAGAGAGAGATCAATCGATCTGAACCAAACCCTAAGTGCAGCACAGAAGCCTTAAGCTTCTGTGGCAGTTTCAGCACTGCCAAGTTTAAGACCAACCTAAAGCCCTGTCTCAAAAAGTAAAAACGCTGGGGACGTAGCTCACTGTTAAACTAAAAAACATACAAACAAACGAAAGAAAAACCCCCAAAATCCTACCAAACAAGAACAAAAAAATCAAAACAAACTGAGCGAGGTGGCGCAGTCCTGTAATCCAGCACTCGGGAGACTGAGGCAGGAGGACTGCCACAAATTCAAAGGCAACTTGGGCTCCATCCTTGAGTTGAAGGCCATCCTGATACTCCTTGTTATTCTTCATACCATAAACATTTTCTTTCAAAGATCCTAACATAAACATATAAAAAGTAACAATGCCCTTCTAAAAGAAAATGTTTCTATATCCTTATAATAGATACTGTGTTTCTTTTCTTTTTTTAATTTAATTTAATTTTATTTTTTGGGACTGGGGACTGAACTCACACCTTGTGCTTGCCAGGGAGGTGCTTAAGCCACTGAGCTAAATCCTGGGCCCTGATATTGTGTTTCTTATAAACTTCCTCAAAGTAAGTAGAAAATAGCAAGTAATAAAAAGAATTCTACAAAATATACTTTGTCCAGGCATCTAGTCCACTCAGTTAACTTGATCAAACCACTTTCGTTTCTCCTGCAGACTGGGCTGGCCAGAGCCTTCGCAACCCACCCCTGTGGCCTTTAGTTTGGTTTTTGAAACACCGTGGTCCTCCTGCCTCAGCCTTTCAGAGTCAGTAGGGTTGAGAAGAGAGCCCCTTCTCTCTTCTGGTTGCAAGAGAGGAATCTTCAATGTGATCAAGAACCTCTCAGCAGACATATTCCTTGGGCTGAGACTTTGATCAATGTGTGCTCACATCAACCTGTCACCTGTGGTGTAAGACCCAGGTTCTCCAACAAGCTACAGGGAAAAAAATCTCCAAGAAGCTTAGCCCTAAAGCACATGCCAAACCTACCTCCGCTCAGAGAGCAGCAAAGGTAGCCATCTACAGTCCTGTTCTCAGAGGACATGTGTGCATATTTTGCTACTAAGAATTAAGAAGTATTTTATTGTGTGACTGCTTGCTAAACAGAGAGAATACATATTCAAGCAGTCTTCTCGTTAGCCAAGTGGAAAATGCAAATAACTTTTCACATAAACTCTAATACGTAACTTTTATTTCTGCAAAGAAATTTGTTCAAAAGACAAACAGAACTGTGCCGTACTTGCTACTCTGAATTGAAAAATACACTTCTTTCTTGATCTAATATTTGGTTTAGTGAACCAACATGACTCACAAATGTGTACTGGTCTATTAATTCTGAGCAGTGTTCTAAGTGTTAGCAATACAAAGGCAAATGAATCACATAATCCAGCACTTACGGAGGTTTTACACTGTACTACACAAGACATACATGAAATGAGCATGTTTAGAAATTAAAATGAGCTGAAGGTGTAGCTCAGTGGTAGAGCACATGCTTACCATGTTTTGTTAAAGCCCTGAGTACAACAACCAGCACCAAAAACAGAGAAATGAAATGATATTAAGAAACTGCCTGGACATAGAGAAGTAAAAGCAACTGAAAGAGAATGCCTAGGGCAGAGGGAGCTGTCAGGAAGGTGTGCTCGGAAAAGGCTCCAGAGCAAAAGGCTGGGTGGCTGGGCGAGGTGGAGGCCAGGGCTGCTGACTCTGGAGACAAGAAAGGCGTGCAGTGGGGGGAGAGGTCCAGGAGCTAACAGGTACCTGACGATGCCGAATGCACAGGGGCAAGGAAAAGGGCAGGCATCTGTCATCGCCTTTTCAGACTAAAAACAAATCTAAAAACTCCAGGTGTGCTCCCTTCCTCTGCACCCGGAGCTTCTGGTGTACTGGTGAGCCTGCCAGCAGCAGTGGAGGGGGAGCCAGATCTGGCTCCCTTCTTCCTGGTTCTTAGCACCCTCACGTGTCGGGGACAGAGCTGGGCAAGAGAACACAACACCCGGAACTCAAAAGGAGGGTTCCCTACTGGATTACCATGCTCATACCCTGGATCAAAGGTAGCACCTAGGAACCAAAGCAGCTCTCCGCAAATTCAGAGACATCAATGGCCCCTGAATAAGCACTGACTGTATGGCTAGTGCTTGACATGCCCTTTAAATCTCATAAAACCCTATACAACAGATGCTGTTATCGTCCTCATTTACGGATCAGGAAATGAAGCCCTGGAAAAGCCAACCTGAGCCAGGAGGTGCTGGAGACAGATTAACCCTAGTGACCTCATCAAGCCAGTGTGACCTCTCAGTTTCCTTATCGTCTCAAACTCTGCACACCCCATCACAGTCAGTCTGCCTAATGCTCCTCTCTACAGGGAACTGCACAGCTGGACTCATCTTTACCAGGATCACTGTCTCATAGGGTGTTTTGGTTTTCTGTTTTGCTTTCCTCTGCTGGACACTGGACCCAGGGCCTCCCACCAATTAGGCAGGTGCTCTGTGTCACCAGCCCTCTCTACAGATCCATGTCTAATGCCTACCTAAATAAATTTCAGGGAATGTTTTGACACCCCCCCACACACAATATTCTGGAATATCTGGGAAGAACAAACTAATGGTACTACATAATCACACGTATAAAGTAGAGGATTGGGTATACATCTATTATTAAATGACGCTAACCAATAGTTTATAAAATGTGACTACAAAGCAAAGCTTCGATTTGTACAACATTTTCTAGAGTAGGATTTTTGTTTCTAAATACATGCAATATCTAAAATTAAGTTACAGAATACCGGCTATCACTAGTACTGAAATAACTTGCTATAAAAAATGTAAAAAATTAACAGTGAAGATATAATTATATTATTTCATGCTATTGGTCGGTTAAGATTTCTTATCTGCTATAAAAGATCAGAAACATTTATCACACTTAGTGGTTTGTTTATTTCTAAGGATCACTAACTCAGGGAGAAGCAGCACTCCCAGCTAGGCACTTCCTCCCTTCTGACTGCTCTGGGTGTGACCACTGCTGGGCAGTGGATATGACCATGGCAGGGAGGGTCCAGCTTGTCATTTGTTGAAAGGCCCCAGTCACCTCACCCCGTGCCCCACACTGCAGTTACATAAGCAGCACAATGAAGCCACAGAGGGCTCTCACTTCTTTGGTTCTATACCTGGTTGTCTTCCTTTAAAAGCCAACAATTTAAAAACAAAGGTCATCTGCAAGGCACGCAGAAAGGACACTGTATTAAACTTAGATGCTTCTCAAACACAAACTGGAAATAAGTTCAAAGACATGGGGAATTTCTTATGAAATACTAGTTAGAAAAGGTTGTATTTTTGAAGACTACATTTATAAATACATAATGAAGCACAATAACACAGTCCCAGGTAATTATAAATAGCAGTTAACGAATTTTTAGAAAGCTAAAAGGCTGTTCATTTTAAATAAGTTTAAGCCAAGTATCCTCTCTGCAGGCTTCTGTTCCTGGGCCCAAAGGTTAATTACTTTGTAGAACAACGAGCTCTGCTCAGACTCCACAGTGCTCTGTCAGTCAGAGGGAATGGTGCGCAGCAGGGCAGCAGCGGCCTCCGCACAGGACTGGGATGAGGACCACAGGACGCGTTTCAAGATCCCAGTGCGAACCTGTGTACCCCAAAAGAGTACACAGCAGGCCGTTTCCAGCTCGGGTCTCTGAAACCCACCTGTGCTGCCTGCACCAGGCTGCCGAATATTCTGGTAGTAGCGTGGTTTAGTCACTGTTCTGAGCAAAGTCCAAAACCGCAACATAACCACTGAACTATGGCAATCCTGGAGGCAGCCGGTGCCTCTGGAGCCCCACGAAGCCATTCATTCCCCAAGCAGATTCCTGCTGTGGAGACTGTCCCTCCCC